CTTTAAAGCCACCTGGTTCTCAAAGCATGGGAAGAGAAATCTATTTAGGAAGACTTCACTTCAATGATAGCTTTCCCTTTCTCCTCAATAGAAACCATTAAATCGGCCACTGCGGTATCCAATCTGAATAAGTACTATTAACATCCACCTTCTCTTTAAGGTTGAACAGTTGTTCCACCCTCTTTTAGAGATTAGATAGCCCCCCCGAAGCCTAAGTTTCTCAAATATGACAAGGTCATACTTATTATTTCATGAGTCCTTTTCTCAAGAAAGGTCGCCCCGCACAAAGATTTCCTTTTGGCGCGCTGCAACCAAAGACATTAAGGAAGCACCACGGAGCAAATGATAGTCCAACTGAATAAAAAATGTCAACTTTACCATATATGTAAGACTCTGGATGTAGGTGAAATCTTCCTTAGAAAAGCAAGCCTACACCCTCAAGGGAGTATAAGGCATTCCAGACCGAAAGACGGTGGGCAGTTTGTAGTAAGAGGATGCTTCACGGGGCCGTAGAAGCCAGTTCCAAAGCTTTATGTTTCTTATTTGAACCTTCCTCCTAAATCGTCCCCTTGTCAAAGTTCCTCTTATTATTCTAGGATGAGGCAGCAGGCCAATCATTATTTTTCTTACTCCGCCTTTTAAAGAATGGTCTAGTTACCTTTTACTGTAGTTGACCGGCTTTGACGAATTGTGGCCGAACAGTAGAGAAACCAAAACACCTCTTTTGGAGATTAGATAGCTTCCCTAAAGCCTAAGTTTCTAAGAGGTGACAAGGTCGTACTTATTCTTCCATGAGTCCTTCTCTCAAGAAAGGTCGCTCCGCGCCAAGATTTCCCTCAGCCCGCTACAACCAAAGACATTAAGGAAGCACCACGAAGAAAATGATAGGTTGACTAAAAAAAACAATCCCAAAAATCTTGTATCTGTTAGACTTTGCAAGTAGGCGTAATATTCCTCGGACAAGAAATCCTAAGCCTCCAAGGAAGTATAAGGCATCATAGACCGAAAGATGATAGGGAGCTTGCAGTAAAACGATGCTTTCTAGGGCCATGGAAGCTAGTTCCAAAGATTTGAGTTTCTTATTTGAACCTTCCTCCTAAATCGACTCATTTTTAAAGTTCTTCTTATTATTCTTAGCTGAGGTAGCTGACCAATCATTATTCTTCTTAGATTTCCTCTTAAATAATGGTCAATTTACCACCTGTTGTAGTCGTTCAACTTTGATGAATTATCGTCGAACAATAGAGAAACCAGAACCTCCCAGTAGTTGGGTCAGGAATGACCTTCCTTGAAATAGGGGAACAAGGTTGGGTTTCAACAATACCATGTTCATTCTTCCTCTTGAAGATGCCCCTTACAATATCACACAAGTTATCTAAAAACCAAGATAAAGAGAATTAATGAAATCTTCAAGAAATAACTGAATTTGGCATTATTCAAAAGCACGCAAATTTTCTTACCAAAAAGTTTCTTCCCATCATGGGGGGAGGATGTATACACCACCACCAGGGTGTCAATAAACCAATCCCTTTGCGCAGGAGAGGATGTGTCAGACCCCTCTTAAACATTCAACTTATCCAAGTAAGTTAATAAGTGGCTCTTTATTGAATGTTCAAGGGCCCTATAAGAGTCGTATGGAACAAAATAAGCGTTGGGATCCTGATCGAAGTGGTCTTGGGACCAACATCTCATGATTATGTCTGTCCACATGAAAGGTTCTAAACTAGCATAGTCGTGGCATATAATTCATCAGAAATTCGAATGGGAAGATGGAGTAATGAGATTCACCAAGAAATAATGGTATTTGAAATACTTCCAACTATCAATGTAGACATTGAAAGTTTTACTGGCCCGACGTAGAGAAATCAAACTCTGACCACATCCTCCTTTTGTCAAAGTACCAGTGACAATGGAAGTGCGAAAGAAGAGGTTCACTCAGGCGAGCTGCTCAACCACATGCACTTGGGAATGAGAAATATGTAGGTGCTCAAGCATTCCTTTCTCGAATTTGGTGAAAGGTAGACCCAACTTCAATTTGTGGTACATGCATTTGTATATAAAGATGACCCTGCAGATTCTCTTGTTGCTATCAACTAAAGAGACTAACCAATTGGGTGACAGGCATGCATCCAAGTAAGCGCTTCAGATGCTACTCAAGCTATCAAAGACAAATTTATCCCCCAATTGTTTTGAATCTACACACTCGATATTGATCAACATGAGTCACCTCCACCAAGTTCTCGTGGTGCACCATACCTGCCCAGGTGTCATGAAAAAACAAAATTTAGTCAAGATTAGTAGAAGGATTGTTAATATTCATGTAACCTCTAGCCTCTGTATTGGTATGGACCCCTCTAGTCGTCACCCCAAAAGATCAAATAGAACAGATGGTCTAATGCTCATCTTGTGTAGTTAGGGCGACGTTGGAGTGTGTAAGAGAAGGAAGGTAGAAAAATAACAATGAAATCTAGGAGGAAATAGGAACGAAAGTTCATTTGAAAGCCAAACTATCTTTATATAAGACAAGACTACAAGGTCATTAGCGATCTAGTTTACATAAGAATAGGTAGATGAAATACAACGACACTTGAGTGAACTCAAACACCCTAATAAAAGCATCATACCCTAGCCTACAAAGTTAGTGTCACAGTTAGTGTCACGTGTATTAAATCCTACAAAGCACGCGGTGATAAGACTGGCATTTAATGTGAATGTCTCCCACTTTCTTTGCAACCAATTTCTAGAAATTTGCACGACTACTGGTGGCCAACTCAGCATTATGCGCCCAATATAAATTTAGAAAAATTTCCCTTGATGGCAAGCCTTGGAGACAACTATTCTGAACCAACCAAAGTCCCAATAAAAGGAGAATCACTTAATGTTCAAAAGAAAACCCAATGACTACTTGACCTAGATATATATACTCCTACATGCATAACACTTAAGGTATACACACTTTTCGTACTTACTCTAAATGTTAGTCTTATAGGTTCACCCCGCGTTCAACAGCTTTGCAACACCATATCAAAAGTTTACCACCTGAATTTCACATAATTTTGACTCCAATCCAAAACATGGTCAAAACTAGAAACTTACATCTACAAATTAGAAATTGTGTAATATTTACAAGCCACTGTAGAGTAGACAAATGAAGCTATAAAGATAAAGAATTCAAAAACACATATCAAGATCACTTTAATACTAAAGCTAATGCTAATGACATTTTGAATAGAAAGTAGGGTTTTTTTTTGTCCCTCTTAATATTTGTTGGCACTTCATTTTTATGATATGGCAAAGCTTCTAGCAGAGTTGATACCAGTTTCAATCATAGGATACCAGTTTCAATCATAGGAATTGTAGCAACGTGAACCACAAACACAACAAATCCAATAGGAAGTGGTGCCAAAACCTACACAAATATAACAATTTAATTATTCAAAACAAAACAACAACAAACTAGAACAAAGAAAACTGAGAGTCTCTAGCATTTCTCTTTGCATTGTAGCAGACAAAACTGTGTAAACAAGAACAAAAGTTCCAATTATCTCAGCACCTAACCCAGTTCCTTTACTGTAACCAACGTCTAACATGTTGGCACCACCTTATATTTAAATACTACTTGCATTGCGAGAAAAAAATTCTAAAAAAATATTGAAAGAAAAGATTAAAAAAACTGAGGTTTTTTAACCGGAATTAAAATGTTAAAAAATATTTAAATAGAGGAGCCAAAAATTTAAGTAATGGTTATCATTTTAGGAAACAACAAGTGTGACACCAGCCATCTTGCATTGCATAATTAGCTGCATTACACTACTATACACCCCAAAGCAACAACAAACCCATCATCAATACCTGCAAATGAATATAAAACTTCTTGCATATTTTAATATTTTTTCTTCACTAGAATACAGAACCGATTTGGCTTCAATTTAAATACAGAATATAGAAAAGCAAGTGATAAAAAAAATTAATTTCTTTCAATACGTGGTTTAATATCTCATGCAAACACATATTTACTATACTCCCATTCCCACATAATAGTTTTTATAACCTACTAACGTCTAATTTAGATCATAAGATTCATCTTCTTTTATAAAATTTAACCGGCAAGCCACCTCTAAATGTGGCAATTAGACCCGGTTCGAACCGTAGAGGTTGAGGAGGTGAAGAAATTTTTTAATCAAATAAGTGTTTGGTTCAAAAGAGAGGAGGGGAGAGGAGGGGAGGAATTTTAATTAAAAATATATTTGGTTCAGAAGGAGAGGGGAGGAGTTTAATTAATAATTTACATTTTTATCCTTATAATTTATTAATAAGTCATATGATATTAAAATGTGAAAAATTCGTGCGTATTTTTGTTGGTAATAAAATTTCTAATATTGAGCGATTAAAAAAATATTTATTTGTCACTAAAGTTAAAAAATTGAGTACAATCGATTCGACTTATAACTTTCCAACATAAATTAAACTATATGCCAATAACATCGTTTAAATTGTGATGAATCATATAACAAAACAAATATATAAAATAACTTATTACTAAATATTAATGGTTCAAAATATTTAATAAAATGAATAAACAAAAATAAATAAAATGATATGGTTTACAATTTGATATAAAAGAAAATATAATAGAGTACATAACAAAATTAAAAGAAAAAAACGAATATAACGAAACATAATTTTTTTTATAAAAAAAAAGACAATGATTAGGATTTATATTAATTATAAAAATTATAAAATAATTTGAAGGTAAAGAACAATTATAATAAATAGATGAAAACAATCGAGAAAAAACAGTAACATAAAAGATAACAAATAGTTTTGAAATAATAAAATTAAACTGAGAATATTTTAGTAAATATAATAATTTTTAAATATCAAAACTCATATTCCCTCCCCTCCCCTCCAAATCCCACCAATTCGGAGGGAACCAAAAAATGTGTTTTGGAGGGATTTTGCTTCCCTCCCCTCCTAAAATTTGAACCAAACATATTTAATTAAAAACGTGACAGAAGAACTTTTCGCAAGTCAACTCCAATTTTAATTTCTCGTTTTTGTTTTATCATCTCTTTGACCATGTCGTTCACCACTTTTATGGCTTCTTTGAGCTTCTTCTCTGACCCAACGTTGAAGAAACGCTTCATTTTCCATATTAATGGCGACGCATTAACTGCTCTTTCAGCTGAAAGCTTTGATGAAAGATCAAAAGCGTCAGCGAGCTTTGAAACTGGAATTGATGGAACAAGACAACATGGGTCAAAATCAAATGAGAATTTACAAATGTTGCCGAACGAGAATCTTCTAAGAATATCTTGCATGTCAATAAAGGCATCATCGTTTTGATCAGTTTTTGAAGCTATGAAAGGAATTAGTCTTGTTTTGATTTCTTCTGTGACAAGTTCCATAGCGTAGGAACGAATAGCTACGCTGCCGAGTTCAAGAGACGCCATTTTGCGTTGAAACATCCACGAATCACCGTCAACGTTGAAGATGCCACGGCCGAGAAGATCGCCGAGAATGGTGGAAAACTGTTTCCCTTTAGGGTAGTTGTGGAAATTTGTTTTGAGGATGTATTCGACATTTTCTGGATTTGCGGTGATGGTGTTACCTAAGACGTGGACTTGAATTGTTCCTGTGGGTGAGGTTTGAAGAAGATGAGTGTAGTAGTCGCAGAGGTTTATGAAGTATTGTGACCAAGTCATTGATAAATAAGTTTTGCAAGTATTGCAGTTACACCATGGTTTAATTCTAGAGATGTAGATGAGAAGAGAGAAGATTGAGAAAAGAAAGGTGAAAGAGAAGAAGAGGAAAGTGAAGGTAGATTGAAGAGAAAGAGAATCTTCAAAACTCATTTTGATGTTTGAGAATATGATGAGAGTGGGTAGAAGATTGGTTATATATATATATATATATATAATATGTTTGGTTTACTATTGTATTGTTGGAGGATTGTTCATTATTAATTCATTAAGCAATACAGTTGGCAAAATAAAATAAAAATCGTTTTCATTGTGTGTGCAGTGGTTTTGATATTATGTGTATGGGAAATGCTAACGAGTGCCTTCAGAGTATTGGTTAAGAGATTAAAATGGTAAGTTGGGTATTATTTAAGAGATTGAAAATATATTTTTTTTCTAAATATATGTGTATTCAATGCCCTGAAAAGAGAAATAATAAGACTTTTTAAAAAATATTGTGTGTATTGAGTGAACTAAATATAACATATTTTTCTTATTTGAAATTCTTAACTAGTGCCCTGAGGGCACTGGTTAGCATGACTCAAATAAAAATAATAAATATCAAGTTTCTTATTATGTGTTAAGTTTTGAATTTTTTTTATATATAAGTTATTTTTAAACTAACTAATATGGACAAATATTGTTATTTTTAAACAAACTAATATGAACAAATATTGTTATTTAATTACTATAAAAAATAATTGCTTAATGGTAATTTTGGTCCCTCTATTTTGTATTTTTTTGAGTTTTGATCTCCATTTTAAAAACCACCATTTAGGTTCCTATTTTAAGTTTTGAGTTTGATATTAATCCCCATGCCATTTTAAGCCATGTTTTTAATGATGTGACACGTTGAATGAAGATGTGGCATTTCCATGTCATTTTAAAATGGTCTTATTCACCAAATATCATTTCCATGTCATTTATTTTTTTAACATTAATTTAAATTAGATATTATCCAATTTGTTCAATTTGGTGAATAAGACCATTTTAAAATGACATGGAAATGTCACTTCTTCCTTAAACGCACCACATCATTAAAAGCATGACTTAAAAGGATAAGGAGACTAATATCAAACTCAAAACTTAAAATGGGGACCTAAATGGTGGTTTTTAAAATAGGGGGATCAAAACCCAAAAAAATACAAAATAGGGGGACCAAAGTTGCAATTAAGGCAAAAATAATTTAACAATTGTTGATTTTTTTTCTATAAAAATAATTAGATTCTATTAAATCAATAATAAATTTAAGGTTGTAGAAGGTGGTCTTGGTTGCCCATTTTTAGAGTTGAGCCTCTACACACATGTATTTTTTATCATCGGCAACTACACACAGTTACAATGAGATGATCTTTGAATATGACATCATGTTTAATAATAACAGTTGACGGGTTTTTATGGTGACAACGACATAATTTATGGTGTCTCAGTCCTTATTTTAATGATGTTAAAACGTTCTAGCTCGTACCTAGTAATTTGGACGGTATCATTGAATCTTAGCTTGCATTCATACTTTACTAATGCACAAAATATTTCAAAATCATGTATCTATACATATATATGCATCTCATATATGTTTTGTGTGTACTTGATCATGTTAGGAAACTTAGGTATACATAAATATAACTTAGGTAGACCAAACTATGAGCAAAAAGTCAATTTTGGAAGTTTAGGGTGTTTGAGTCGACTCAAAGCTCTGCTTAGGTCGACGCATATAAGTTGCATTTCAATCTTTTGCCTTCGGGTGTGCTCGCATCGACCTTTTGGTCGACTCATACTGTAAGAGTTTGTGTTTGTCAATTTTGGGCTAGTTTGCATCAACGCATGACCCCTTTTTCCGGTCGACGCACAACTTCAATTTTTGCATAGTCTTGCTCTCGGGTGTGCTTAGTTCGACCCCCTGCAAGCTTAGGTCGGCCGCTCGCTAAAAATATGCTATTTTTCTGATCTGTCTTATGTCAAATTGCTATTATGTTAGTTTATTGGTCATAACATCATATATATTTATTTTGTCTCATCATTTTTACACATAACAAGAAAAGTGAAAGATATACACCAAATTATTCTCATCATATTCATCTTCATTCTTGCATTTTCTCAACAATTACACATAACAGTTTTTGTTGATCTTTTGCATCATTAAGGTGATAACGTCCAAATGTAGGATTGTGTATCTCGTTTTGGGTTGAGATTTTAGTGGATTTTTATTGAATAAAACCATTAGGATTTTGTCCTCCAAGATCTTGACGATTTGAGGGGTTTTGCACAAATCTTGTCTTCACAGATTCAGCCGAGCGAAGGGAATTAAAGAACGGAGGGTTCGTTCAATCAAGTAGTGTTAACCGGAGGATTGTGCAAAGAAGATTTGGCTTCGAGCGGTGTGTGATCGAAATGATCTGAGTGAAAGGTTTGAAACCAGTGGGGTTGTTCAGATAAATAGCGGTAAACGGAGGTTTGTTAAACACGTTCGAGGCACTTGATTCATCTTAAATCAAGGGGAGAGAAGACATAGTATCAACATTGTCACACCCTCATTTTCTCCTTTAGCCTTTATACCCTACATTCGCCATATCATACATCATTTTATTGCATATCGAGCATGTGGGTACGGATCGTCTACTCTTGTAGATTTCTTCAAAGAGAAGTTACTTGATGAAATATTAGGATATTCAAGATATATTCCTAATGACCATGAAATGCAAGGCATAATTCAAGATTGCTTCATCTAATTTTGTTTTAAATTCTTGATCAAGTGGAGTTCAATTTTGCAAAGCATGAGTCAAGATTACAAGTCCATAATTCAAGACTTCATCCATTTCAAGCTTAATGGTTCTAAGGAAATTCATCATGAATTCAAGATTAAAGGCAAGAGTATTACAAAGAGAAACTTTATGACATTACAAGAATGTCATTTGTTACAATGTATCCAACTCTAAGTAATGATTAGAATTTATTTCTAATCTTCATTCAAGCTTCTAATCAAATTCATGCCACACCAAGTCCACCTTATGCTTACAAACATCCAAGAAATATGTAAGGATTAAATCAACATTGGATTGTTTTAAGACCAAGATTATGCATGTTAATCATAAGCAAAATAGTCCCATGCAAAAGTGACAAATTTCCTCATGTCACAAAATCTACATGTCACAAGACCAAAGGCATAACATGTGACAATGCTTCTACACATCAGAATTTTCAAAATGCTGTCAAGAATTGGTAGCATTGACCAAGAGGAGCTGTCCAAGCACAAGCCAACAAAATGGGTGCAAGGCACAAGGTGCTGCAGAAAAATAGCATAGGAAAGTAGTGCAGAAAATGCAGCATAGCACCTTGCATGGAAATGGAAAGAAAGAGAGTGACATAAGGAAAGGTGGTAAGAAACATTGCCCCATGAAAAATCTGAAGTGTGGGAAGAAGTGAAAACCCTAGAGGAGCTGAGATAAGAGGAAGGGGCTGTAAACAAAAAGAGGACTCTTCATTCATTCAAGATTCATTCTACACACATTGGCAAAAACCAGAAAATAGAGAGAGCAAACAAAACCCTAAAAACCAGAAAAATAGGAAGCTTTGCAAACCAAAAAAAGAGAGTGATATAGAACCAAGAGGATCATAGAGAAACAAAACCTTCACAACATAAAGAGAAGAGGAGTGAGGTACATTCAACCAAGACCAAGGAGGACTTGCAAGAAGGATAGAAAGTTCTTGGGTATCCATTTCCTCCAACCTTTCTCTCTTTACTTTTTTGCTATTTACATTCATTTTGTCTACTCTTTTTGTATTGTTGCATTGTATGTTTCATGTAAGGTTCCAAAGGGACCAAGAAACCGTTCTTAAGAAACCACAAAAACGAAAGAAAAACATAGAAAACGTTAGGTTTTTTACTCTGGTAGCACGACACGGGCCGTGTCATACAACACGGCCACCCGTGTCACGCAACACGGGCCGTGTCACACAACACGGCCACCCGTGTTGCACTTCTGTTTGACATTTCAAGATCCAAAAAATCCCAGGCCTCACAACACGGGCCGTGTCACACAACACGGCCACCCGTGTTGCACCCCTGTTTACCCTAAAAATCATTTTCCACCCAGGCTTTACAACACGGGCCGTGTCACACAACACGGCCACCCGTGTTTCACCTCTGTCATGCTCCAAAACTCACATTGCAGGTACCCTATGACACGGGCCGTGTCACACAACACGGCCACCCGTGTTACATCACTGTTTCGCTACTTTTTTCGATATTTTACCTCCAAAAAAATTTTTCTCAAGGAGTTCGCCGTTTTTATTGCATGTCTCGATTTTTTTTATGCGACTAACCCGATATGTTTGTATGTTTTTCGTATGTGAATGTTGTTGTGGTCCTTGTTGGCCTTTGATTCCAAAAAACCATTTTTCAAAAACAAACCCTCGATTTTATCGAGCCATTTTCAACCCTTGTAAGTCGGCCGCCTTGTGCGTCCGCCATCGACCTTGTTCGTATCACCTCAAATACTTTTACAAACAATAAATCTTGATTCAACGTCAAGTGGTTCTCTTTTCTCATAAAAAATCAAAACACAACAACATAAACAATTAGAATTATGCACCACGAACTTTAAAGTGGTAGAAAAGGAATGAGAATGGAGTCCTCCTACACTCGTTCCGAATGTTTTGGATACAAGGCGCTCGACTTGCTTATTCGAAACATTCATTTCTATCCAAAGTCTTTTGTGTACAATCAATCAAGAACAATTTCTCTTAAGAAACTTAAAAATAACATCAACTCATCAAACCTATTTTCGCCTTAGGGCGTTAATTCAAAAACCCTTTTCAAGGTATAAAATCAACCAACAAACAACAATTTCACAAGCCTCCGAACTACGGAGCTCTGATTCTTCACTTCTTTTAAGTGAGGATACGTAGGCACAAGGGCCACAATCCTTGGCGAGCATTAAAATAACTAAACCAACCCCTCTTTTCCGTAAGCAAGTAAACTTTGAGAATAAAACACTCATTCACGTTAAATAACCTAGGAGGTTCCCATCGAGTACGATGGATGCGAGGGGGTGCTAACACCTTCCCCTCGCATAACCGACTCCCGAACCCTAAGACTTGGTTGCGATGACCAC